TTTTTTTTTTTTTTTTTTTTTTTTTTTTGAGACACAGTCTCCTTCTGTCACCCAGGCTGGAGTGCAGTGGCGAAATCTTGGCTCACTGCCGCCTCTGCCTCTTGGGTTCAAGAGATTCTCCTGCCTCAGCCTTCTGAGTAGCTGGGATTACAGGCATGCACCACCACACCCTGATAATTGTTTGTAGTTTTAGTAGAGATGGGGTTTCACCATGTTGGCTAGGCTGCTTTTGAACTCCTGACCTCAAGTGATCTGCCTGCTTTAGCCTTCCAAAGTGCTAGTATTATAAGTGTGAGCCACTGTGCCCAGCCCATATTTTTTCAAATCCCTTTCTCACCGTTAGTTCATTGGTCCTGAATTTTTTTTATTTTTCTTTTCTGAGACAGGGTCTCAATCTATCACCCAGGCTGGAGTGCAGTGGCATGATCATGGCTCATTGCAGACTCGACCTCCCTGGGTTCAGGTGATCCTCCCACCTCATCCTCCCAAGTAGCTGGAATTACAGGTGCATGCCATTATTCCTGGCTAATTTTTTTTTTTTTTTTTGAGACAGGGTTTCATCCTGCCTAGGCTTCCCAAAGTACTGGGTTAACAGAGTAGCCACCGCACCTGGCCCCTCAGCCTCCCGAGTAGCTGGGATTACAGGCATCTCCATCAGGCCTGGCTAATTTTTGTATTTTTTTTTTGTAGAGCTGGGGTTTGATGATGTTGCTCAGGCTGGTCTGGAACTCCTGACCTCAAATGATCCTCCTGCCTTGGCTTCCCAAAGTGCTAGGATTATAGGCATGAGCCACTGAGCCTGGCCATTTACTTGCTTTTTTTTTTTTTCTTATAAAGACGGGTTTTCACCATGTTAGTCAGGCTGGTCTTGAACTCCCGACCTCAGGTAATCCGCCTGCCTTGGCCTCCAAAGTGTTTGGATTACAGGCGTGAGCCACCACGCTGGCCTTTTTTTTTTTGAGTTAGAGTCCCTCTGTCACACAGGCTGGAGTGCAGTGGTGCCATCGGGGCTTACTGCAACCTCCACCTCCTGGGTTCAAGCAATTCTCCTGCCTCAGCCTCCTGAGTAGCTGGGATTACAGGTGCATGCCACCACACCTGGCTAATTTTTTTATTTTTAGTAGAGACGGGGTTTTACCGTATTAGGATGGTCTCGATCTTCTGACTTTGTGATCCACCCACCACAGCCTCCCAAAGTGCTGGGATTACTTGCTGTTTAAAAAAATCTTGAGTTCATATCTTGTCCCCAGTTCTGTTTTTGTTTTTTGTTTTGAGATGCAGTCTCAAAACTGTAACCAGGCTGGAGTACAGTGGCGCAATCTCGGCTCACTGCAACCTTCACCTCCCAGGTTCAAGCGATTCTCCTGCCTCAGCCTCCCAAGTAGCTGGGACTACAGGCATGTGCCACCACGCCCAGCTAATTTTTGTATTTTTAGTAGAGATGGGTTTTCACCATGTTGGCCAGGATGGTCTCCATCTCTTGACCTCGTGATCTGCCCACTTTGGCCTCCCAAAGTGCTGGATTTACAGGTGTGAGCCACTGTCCCTGGACAAATTTTTGTAATTTAGTAGAGGCAGGTTTTTGCCATGTTGGCCAGGCTGGACTCAAACTCCTGACCTCAAGCAAATCTGCCTGCCTTGGCCTCCCAAAGTGTTGGAATTACGGGCGTCAGCCACCGCGCCCGGCCAAAAGAGAAATTTTAATTCCCACTGGGCATATCAAGTACTCGCTATGGAAAACTGGATCATGAGTTCTTGTAAAAGCTAATTTAATTTTTAAATCGGTATAAAATTGCAGATCTGAGTAAAAAAAAGTATACTGGTCGGGCGAGGTAGTTCATGCCTGTAATCCCAGCACCTTGGGAGGCCGAAGTGGACGGATCATCTGAGTTCAGGAGCTCGAGACCAGCCTGGCCAACATGGTGAAACCACGTCTCTACCAAAAATATATAAAAAAATTATCCGGGCATTGTAGAGGGCACCTGTAATCCCAGCTACTTGGGAGGCTGAGGCAGGAGAATCGCTTGAACCTGAGAGGCAGAGGTTGCAGTGAGCCAAGATTACGCCATTGCACTCCAGCCTGGGCGACAAGAGTGAACCTCCGTAAAAAGAAAAAAAAAAGTATATATATATATATATATATATATACACACACATATATGTGTGTGTATGCGTGTGTATATCTATATCACAATGTATTAAAATCAAAGATTTGGTCTCATTCAAAGAAATGCAGTGTCACAGATATAGCTAAAGCTCAGGGCTTAAACCCAAGCCGCTTCCTTCCTCCTAGAGGTAATCAGTATCCTGAAGTTGGTGTGCCTCAGTCCCAAGCCTCTTTTCGTACTTTCTCCACGGTGGTTTCCAGAAACACTACGTGGGATTGTTTAGTGATTTTAAAACTAAATGTTTTAAAAATATACGTTTTCTACTGCACAAACCGTCTGCAATAATTTCCATTTAACATTATGGGGTTTTTTTTACGTCCCCCAAACTCATTTTAATATTTTACATTAAAGCCTCTCTGTGATGTGCGGTTGGGCGGGACTCCGAGTGGTGGGCGGGGCCTAGACTGGGAAACGGGGGCGGGGCCTAGGAGATCCCGGGCCTCAGTGTGGACGCAGTGGTTCTGCCTGGAGGTCTTCGTCATGGTGGCGCCCGTGTGGTACATGGTAGCGGCAGCTTTGCTAGTCGGCTTTATCCTCTTCCTGACTCGCAGCCGAGACCGGGCGGCATCAGGTAGGAGATGCCGCTGCGCCAGGAGTGGCGGGGCCGGGTTCTCTGGCCTTCTAAGCCTTTGTAAACCGTCGCGCTGCGGCTCAAGTGCGTGCGCATCTGGGCGGGCGGAGCGCATGCGCGTCCGTGTGCTTAATGGTCCCGGTGGGGCCCTCACTGTGTGCTTCCTGGTACCGGTGGCTGCGCAGCTACCCCTTTTTCCCGACCCCAAGCCAGAGCCTCGCCCCCGGAAACTCCATACCTCCAAAGGCCTCAGGCCCTCACCGGCGCACACTCCCATCTCTCACCGTCTGGGCCCTCACCCTCTGCGCCTGTTAGGGAGGCCGCAGGGATTTCCCATTCCTCCCAGCCTGGCTCCAGAGCAGGTGCCAGGAAGTGGGCATCCGAGTATTTTCTGGCTGTTGGAGAAGCGTGAGGCGGCTCCAGGAAACTCCTGAAGTGCTCTCCCTTCCCGCCAAGGAGAGCGCCCACACTCCTTCCCTGATTTGCAACCCTATCAGAAGAAGGCCATGTCGTCATTCAGGGCACAAAACAGATACACCCATCCTCCCCCTTTTCCCCCATTTCCGGTCAACGGGTGGGTTTGTGTCTGTGTCTCCCCGCTCCTTGGGCCCACAAGCTACCTCTGAGCACCTTCGTGCTCCCAGGGGTGGGAGGGCCACGCTGAGGGAAGGCGGAGAGCCAGCAGGTCTTCCTGGGCGAGGCTCGGCCACGGCTGGGACGTGTACTCTGATTGGGGAGCCAGATAAAACCACAGGTGGTGTTAGGAGAGAAATCAGTAGAGTCCTGCAGGGGGCACTAGATGAAAGCTGGGGACATCAGGGTAAGGGCTTCCTGACAGGCCAGCTGGAAAGGTGGAGCAGGGAGGGGAGAGAAGAGTATTCACAGGGATGGGAGGGAAGGGCTGAGCCGCTGCCTGGGACCAAGCTGTGGGCCCGGTAGAAAAGGCCTTGCCAGCCAGGCTGAGAAGTCCGGTCTTTGTGCTGTGGGCACCAGGAGGCTGAGCAGAGGAGGTGAGGCTTCCAGGCTGCTGCTGCTCCTGCCATGGGCTGGGCTGGGCTGCTGGGTAGCGTTGTCATTTCTGTCTTTCCTACAGCTGGCCAAGAGCCACTACACAATGAGGAGGAGCTGGCAGGAGCAGGCTGGGTGGCCCAGCCTCGGCCCCTGGAGCCTGAGGAGTCACGAGCTGGAGGCAGGCCCCGGCGCCGGAGGGACCTGGGCAGCCGCCTACAGGCGCAGCGGCGAGCCCAGCGGGTGACCTGGGCAGAAGCAGATGAGAATGAGGAAGAAGCTGTTGTCCTAGGTGAGAGGGGCCCAGCCTGGTGGGGAAAGGTTTTGGGTTGGAAGGGGTGATAAAGGGGCCCCCAAAGCTAAGTGGGAGAGTAGGCTGTGAAGCCTCAGTGTGGGAAGGACATCTGGGAGCCACAAGGTGGAGTAGGAGGAGAATTGAGACCTGGCCTTTGTTCCACTGGGTCAACTCTCTCTTCCTTCATCTTGGCTCTCAGTGTCCAAGCAGGAGGGCAAGGGTCTTCAGATTGACTCAGAATATTCCTCAGTTCACCCCTTCTGTCCTCACACCCTTCCTGATATGGGCACACTCATTCTCTGAGGATTTCACCCTACAGGCAGAGTGCCTGGCCAAGAGCTTCTGCAGTTCCTGGAGCGGGGTCACCTGCAACCCCAAAACAACAGTTTAAAGCTAGAGACGTTCTGTTGACACAGAGGCCTCTATGTCCCTGCTTCTGGGAGACCAGGAGAGCCCTCAGGATTGGCTTTTCCAGTACTTGATGGCTGACTTGAGCCTGAGGAGGGAGTATCTGGGCCTTTCTCAGAAACTGAGGGCATTTGAGGCTTTTGCCTTTTACCCTTGGGGATTATCCCCTTAGCTCACAAAGAGGCCCTTTCTTTGCCATACCTTCTGGCACAGACTTGGGTTCAGAGACCCTTGCTGCACAGGCATCAGTGGGTCTTGAACTTGCAGCTGGCCCTGAGGTAGTCATGGTGTTGGTACTGTCTTTTCAGCCAGACTTTGGTGGGCAAAGGGATAATCCTGGCCAGGGACTAAGCCCAGAATCCTCAGCAACTCCTGACTGTAGTGAGAAGGAAGTCAGATTTGAGACAGGATGAATTTCCCCGTGGGACTTCCCTTCTCTAGGGGTTTGGCACAGAGACAGAAGCCAGAGAACTCTAAAGCCCAGGAAGCCCTATCTGTGACTGTGAAACACTTTTTTTTTTTCTTTTTTTAAAATAAAGATGGGGTTTCACCATGATGGCCAGGCTGATCTTGAACTTCTCACCTCAGGTGATCCACCCACCTTGGCCTCCCAAAGTGCTAGGATTACAGGCATGAACCACAGCGCCTGGCCTTTTTTTTTTTTTTTAAATAGAGATGGGGTTTCACTATGTTGGCCAGGCTGGTCTCGAACTCCTGACCTCATGATCCGCCCACCTTGGCCTCCCAAAGTGCTGGGATTACAGGCGTGAGCCACCACACCCAGCCAACACTTGCTTATTTTAACCTGTTACCTCCCTCGTTATGGCTATGCAGTATCTAAAGTTCTCATCTGTTCCCTTGCCCCATGGGCCCCTCACCATTCTCCCATTCCTGCATATTCATGCACACACACAGATGCATTCATGGTAGATGCCTCTGGAGGGCAGAGCTGAGCCAGTAACATTGGCAGGTGGATGGAAGGGACCCCGCTATTAGGAGAGGGATGAGGGGTGGGGGATCTGTCATCATAAGTCCTCTCTGTCATCCTTTGACCATACCCAGCCCAGGAGGAAGAAGGCATTGAGAAGCCAGCAGAAACTCACCTGTCAGGGAAAATTGGAGCTAAGAAACTGCGGAAGCTGGAGGAGAAACAAGCACGAAAGGCCCAGCGTGAGGCAAGCTGGAGGGATGGGGTACAGCTCTGGGAAGTGGGAAAGGGCCCCACCTTCCCTTTTCCCTAAGGCAGACTCAGGGCTCCTTGCCTGCTAGGCTGGTGGCTGCTGCTTGCTGTGGCTGATAAGCCAGAATACAGAATGGGGGAGACTCTGTCTCCTGCTGCCTTGGTCTGTGCCCTGGCCCAGGCATTGCATTCCCTAGTCTGTCTGGGAGGTGACCACACTCTAGCTGGGGGTGAGGGATGTGCCCCTATGAAGGCCTCTCTCCAGGCAGAGGAGGCTGAACGTGAGGAGCGGAAACGACTCGAGTCCCAGCGTGAAGCTGAGTGGAAGAAGGAGGAGGAGCGGCTTCGCCTAGAGGAGGAGCAGAAGGTGAGGCCAGCCCCAACTCTGACCCCTGACCCTTGACCAGGCAGTCTTGCTTCCTATGCAGCTCCCTGGCACCTCCAACATACAAAGTGGGCCATAGACCTGGCACAAGGTCATGTCCTGGTTTATTTGCTCCAGCACAGCCTGGGAAAGCTGCTGCTGAAAAGCAGAGCCTGGAGTGGGGATTCTTGTGCACATGACTACTGAACTTGGGGGAAGCATGTGAGGAACACGAGGTGAGCAGGGTGGCTGGCAGATAAAGCCAGGAGAGGAGGAGAAGATGGTAGAGAGGTAATGGGGGGTCTGGATCCCGAAGGCCTAAAGGATGTTAAAGGTCATTGTAAGAGATGGTGGATGGGCTGGTCGCGGTGGCTCATGCCTGTAATCCCAGCACTTTGGGAACCTGAGGCGGGCGGATCACGAGGTCAGGAATTTGAGACCAGCCTGGCCAACATGGTGAAACCTCGTCTCTACTAAAAATACAAAAAAAAATAGCTGGGCATGGTGGTGCATGCATGTAATCCTAGCTACTCGGGAGGCTGAGGCAGGATAATTGCTTGAACCTGGAGGTGGAGGTTGCAGTGAGCTGAGACCGTGCCACTGCACTCCAGCCTGGGTGACAGAGCAAGATTTTGTCTCAGAAAAAAAGAGAAAAAGAGATGGTGGATGCATGAGGGCCTGGCATAGAGGAGGTGCTCAGGGAATGGGGGTTACTACAGTAAAGGTGGCTAATGAACATTTGTTTGCCAGATGCTTCCTTTGTTCTGAGAACCAGGTTTCCAAAAAAGGGAACAGCATGAAGATGTGGGGGGCATAGGGTTAGAGCCAAGGCTGCCCTAGCTGGGAAGTCCTATGACCTCTGACTGGCCTGTTGTCCCAGGATCCTGGATGGCAGAAAACCTCAATATGGGTGCTGTGGCTGATGAGTCAGAATACAGCATGGGGGAGGCATTAGCAGAGAGAATTTTTTACCTTTCTGAATATTGGTCCCACCTAATGTACCTTAAATATCCTGCTCTTCTCTCCTGTACCCAGTTTCCCTTATCTTACCTCACTTTGGTACATTCCTCACAAATAACATTGACACATTATTAACTAAACTCTAACACTATTCAGATTTTGATTGATTGATTAATTGATTGATTGAGACAGGGTCTTGCTCTGTTGCCCAGGCTGGAGTGCAGCGGCATGATCTTGGCTCTCTGCAACCTCTGCCTCTCAGGTTCAAGCAATCCTCCCACCTCAATTCCCCCTCCCCCTGAATAGCTGGGACTATAGGTATGCGCCATGATGCCTGGCTAATTTTTGTGGGTTTTTTTGTTTGTTTGTTTGTTTGTTTTTGTAGAGATTGGGTTTCACCATGTTGCCCAGGCTGCTTTTGAACTCCTAGACTCAAGCAGTCCTCTTCCCTTGGCCTCCCAGAACGCTGGGATTATGGATGGGAGCCACCATAACTGGCCCCATGATTCAGATTTTATCAATCTCCTGACCTTGTGATCTGCTTGCCTCAGCCTCCCAAATTGCTAGGATTACATGTGTGAGCCACCATGCCCAGCCTTAACAATTTTGAGGAGTGCTGGGCAAGTAGTTTGTAGAAGGTCCCTTGATTTGAGTTGGTTGATGTTTTTCTCATGGTTAGACTGGGGTTATGGATTTGAGTGAAGAAGACCATAGTGAAGTTCCATCTTCAATGCAACATGCTAAACATGCAAGTTACCCGCTTCACTTATCCCTAATGTTGTTAACCTTGGTCGCCTGGCTGCAGTTGTGTTTGCCAGCTTTCTCCACTGTAATGTAACTGCTTCTTTCCCCTCTTCCCATATTTCTTTGGAAAGAAGTCACTCTGTACAGCCCACACTTAAGGGTTGGGGAGTTAGAGTTCTTACATAAATTATTTGGAAATCTTTTATAGGAGATAGGTCTCTCCTTCCTTATTCATTAAATATTTATGCAGTCTTTTTTTTTTTTTTTGAGACAAGAGTCTCACTCTGTCGCCCAGGCTGGAGTGCAGTGGCGCAGTCTGGGCTCACTGCAACCTCTGCCTCCCAGGTTCAAGTGATCATCCTGCTCAACTTCCTAGGTAGCTGGGATTATAAGCACCTACTACCACATCCAGCTAATCTTTGTATTTTTAGTAGAAATGGGGTTGCACCATGTGGGCCAGGATGGTCTCAAGCTCCTGACCTCAAGTGATCCACCCACCTCAGCCTCCCAGAGTGTTAGGATTACAGGCGTGAACCACTGTGTCCGGCCAGTCATTATATTATATCTGTATAGACTCATGAGTATTTATTTTGTACTTTGTGTTGTAATCCAGTGACATGTTATTTATTAGGCTGTTCAGATTGTTCCAGCTTTGACCATTAGGAGCCTTTTCGGTTGGCTCCAAAGTACCTTTAACACGTACCTGTTTTGTTTTTTGAGCACTTAGTTTCTGGCATTACAAGATGCCCCAGACCCATCTTGTATATTGCCCCAGCTTTAGCTTCCCGTTTTAAGAAGATTATTTCTGAGTGCTCTGGAAAATGTGTTGCGTTGAGGGAGGCTGTCATTCCAGGTGCTAGTGATGGAGCAACACAGACAGACTGGGGAGTTTTCTGGAAGTTAGAGAAAGAAGTGGTCAATAGGACCTCATTTCTGACCAGTTGGCTGTGTTAATTCATGGAGCCAGGGACCCAGGAGGAGGTCCAGACTTAGAAGAGTAGGTCCTAGGGTCTGTCTGGTGCCTGTGAGATGGGATGGGCCAGTAGATGTGTCACATGGGCCATTGTGTGTTTGGGAGAAGAGATTTGGGTGGGGATACAAGTGTGGTAGTCACTGGCAAGGAAGGGGTTGATGCTTTGGGCATGGGTGAGGTGGCCCAGAGAATGTGGAGGAGAGAGAAGAGGCAGGGCTGAATGATGAAGGAGGCGGGAAGAATGGCCTGAGGAGCAGGAGGAAATCCAGGAGAGGGTGGGATCTGGAAGCCAAGGGAGGAAAGAAGGATCCACTGAGAGGACAGGCATATGAGAGCTGAAGGTTGTCCCTTGAGTTTGGTGAGTGGGGGCATGGGTGAGACTGTGGCAGGAGTTGTTTTGTAGAACTGGTAACACAGAAGCCAGACTGGAGTGGGCTGACTGGGTGAGTGGGTGGTGAGGAAATGCAGGCTCCACATTTGCTCATGAAGTTTGGACGTGATGGGGTATGCTTGGTGAGTTACACAGGGAGAGGGTGGGGCCGGTGATTGGAGGGTATTGTAGGGTGGGGTCATGGCTGGGTTTTCAATAGATTTTTGCTAAGATCTTCTGAGCAGGGAGGGCAGGAGAAAGGGCTGAACAGCATTCGTCCAGGTGATGGTGACGCTGGTGACAAGAGGGGCCTCGGCCCATTGTTTATCTTGGGGGATGGAGGAACATTGGTTTTGAAAGAGCTCTCTCTCTGAGTAAAGGCTGGGCTGTATGCCCTGGTGTCCTGCAGGGGTAGCAGCAACCAGAACAGGGATGGTGGGCACCTACCACCAATAGCCGACTTTTGCCTTCTGTGTCCACAGGAGGAGGAGGAGAGGAAGGCCCGTGAGGAGCAGGCCCAGCGGGAGCATGAGGAGTACCTGAAACTGAAGGAGACCTTTGTGGTGGAGGAGGAGGGCGTGGGAGAGACCATGACTGAGGAACAGGTGGGCCTGCTGCCCCTGGGAAGCCCCTCTTTGCACCTATCAGCGCTGCCTATGCCAGACGCAAGACCAGCCACCCCATCCCAGACGCCCCTAGCCAGTGAGAGGTGGATGGGCATCAGTACCAGCAGACTTTGGTGGCCAGAGGCTTTGTCCTCAGCAGAGGCTAGTGCCTCCGAAACCCTCACCCTGGAAGACTCTGCTGATTGTGTAGGCAAGCCGTACTCGCAGGTGGTTGGGCGGGCCCAAGGCAGGCTGCAGGCAGGTGGCCCTCAAGTGAGTAGGTGGTACTTGGGTGGATGGGTACAGAACTCTGTGGCCCTGCTAAGGGGTGCTCACCCTGATTTCTCTGCTTCTCTAGTCCCAGAGCTTCCTGACAGAGTTCATCAACTACATCAAGGTAAGACTCCACTGAACAGAGCCTGAGTGTCAGCTCCCTGCCTGGCGTGTGCATGTTGGGGGCTGCAGGTGGTGCACTCGGGCTCATGCAGGAGTGGGCAGGGGGGCCCAGAGGGGCAGAACTGTGGGGTCCTGGCCAGGAGCATTTCCCCCCCTCCAGCCCCAAAGGTGGAGAAGGACCTGGGTCTGTGTGGGATGCACGAGCCTTTGATCACTTCCTCACACTCAGTTTGACAGTTTCCCTGCTCTTCAGACCCCACGCTCAGTGAGTCAGTGTGTTTTCAAGTCTCCTCACATGTGTTTTCTGTCAGTTCTGTCACAGTGAGGCTCCACTGAGTTGAAACAAGCGTCCTCTGCCATGTGCTTCTGACTGGGAACTTGGGTCTTTCAGGGAAAACACGATGGTGTTTCCTTTGAGTCTAGGATGGGGCGGCAGTGTGTCCCCTTCTGTCTGCAGCCACCACGCAGGCCACCTCGATGCCGCGCCAGGTTGCATAAGCACATCCTACTTTGCTTTGCTGCTAAGCAACTTCTCTCCCACGAAGGATGCAGTCAGGGGAGAGGTTTTCAAGTGCAACTCAGAGTTGCAGAGGCGGCTAAGGGAAGGAGTGCAGAGGGAGCGGGGGTGGTGGTGGGGGTGCTACTAGGGGCTGCCAAGGAGCCAGGGCTTGCATAATCCTCCCGCCACCTCTCCTGAAAGAGAGCAGGGTTTAGATGCCTGCCAGCAGTGAGGGGCTCGGCTCACAGCCTTGAGTCTGGGGTTCCTAAGCAGGGGAAATGCTGGCAGCTTCCAGAGGGTTCTGTCTGCTCAGGCTGTGTGCATTCCCCTCTCATGGAGCCCTTTCTCCACCTGGGCACATTTGATGAGGGGGCTTTAGCCGGGCAGGATGGCTCTCACACTTGCCTGCTGCTGTTTGGAACTTGTCTCCATCTACCCAGTAGGCAGCAAGATGGTCCTGAAGCCCCTTCCCAGGAAGCCTTTCCAGGCGGAATTAGAGGAGGGGGTCAGCTTCAGCATTCCCCTTTACTCTGCAGAAACCATAAGAAAGGTCCCCACTTCTAGCCCTCACTTTCAGCGGCTCCCTGAAGGCGCCATTCTAGGGGAGTTCTCCAAACTTTTGTGAAGCTTAGAAGTTTTTCCAGCTTGTCTGGGCGCAGTGGCTGATGCCTGTAATCCCAGCACTTTGGGAGGCCGAGGTGGGCGGACCACTTGAGTTTGGGAGTTTGAGACCAGCCTGGGCAACATGTTGAAACCCCATCTCTACTAAAAATACAAAAATTATCTGGGCATGGTGCTGCACGCCTGAAGTCCCAGCCACTCAGGAGACTGAGGCAGGAGAATCACTCGAACCCAGGAGATGGAGGTTGCAGCGAGGCAAGATGGTGCCACTGCACTCCAGCCTGGGTGACAGAGTGAGACTGTCTTGAAAAAGTTTTTCCAGCCTGTGCTGGCTGATTTTTCTAGAGCTGCTATCTTGCAGGGAAAAGGAAGACTTCTGAAATTCAATCTGCCTGCTTTCCTCCTTGCTCCAAGGGGATAGGCCCTTTTGTCTTAAGATTTCAGTACTGGAAGAGCATGCCTGCACCCAGCATCATTTAAGAGAAGCGTATGGTTCACTCTATCTTGTTCCATTCTTCTGTCTGACCATGGCTGGGCTCAGGCCATCTTCCCACTTCAGCCTCCCGAGTAGCTGAGACTACAGGTGTCCACCACCATACCCAGCTTGTTTTATCAAATGTTTTAGCTCCAGCGGCACCTCAGGCGAGGTCTTCAGGGACCACCTGGGGCGACTTCATGTTTCTGCACCACACTCACTGAAAGCCTAGTGCCTGATCCCTGTTTTGTAGGTAGAGGCCAGCTGACCAGGTCACGTTGTCCTTGCCCATCCTGGCCCAGCTGCCTCTCAGAGCTTGCCTTCCTGCTTGCACATACGGTTTGGCATTTCAAACAGGTCACATGCTATCTGCAGTCAGGGAGGTGTCACTGTGTCAGTCCTCCCCCAGCTCATTTGTGATGGAGGATTCACAGAGATGCAAAAGGACTGCCTTTTCCCAAGTCCTGTGCTGTCTGTTGGGGCAGTGGGGGTAGGTGCCTGTGTGGACACAGCAATGGACCGTTCGCTGCACCCTTGGGAACTCAGGTTTCTGCTGAGGGTATGAGGAAGCACGTGGAGCGTGGAACATGGCTGTGCGGGAAAGCATTCAGCAGTGTTAGTGACACTGATTTTTTTTTTTTTTTTTTGAGACGGAGTTTCGCTCTTGTTACCCAGGCTGGAGTGCAATGGCGCGATTTCGGCTCACCGCAACCTCCGCCTCCTGGGTTCAGGCAATTCTCCTGCCTCAGCCTCCTGAGTAGCTGGGATTACAGGCACGTGCCACCATGCCCAGCTAATTTTTTGTATTTTTAGTAGAGACGGGGTTTCACCATGTTGACCAGGATGGTCTCGATCTCTTGACCTGATCCACCCGCCTTGGCCTCCCGAAGTGCTGGGATTACAGGCTTGAGCCACCGCGCCCGGCCGACACTGATTTTTTTTATCTTTTCTTTTTGAAACGGATTCTCGCTCTGTCGCCCAGGCTGGAGTACAGTGGCACAATCTTGGCTCACTGCAACCTCTGCCTCCTAGGTTCTAGCGATTCTCCTGCCTCAGCCTCCCGAGTAGCTGAGATTACAGGTGCATGCCACCACACCCAGCTAATTTTTTCCATTTTTAGTAAAGACAGGGTTTCACTATGTTAGCCCAGATGTCTTGATCTCCTGACCCCGTGATCTGCCTGCCTCACCCTTCCAAAGTGCTGGGATTACAGGCGTGAGCCACCGTACCCAGCCTAGTGACAGTGATTTTAAGTGGGCTCAGTGCCTCACATGGTATGAAGAGGACGGATAAAGAGTGTGGGTGTGTCAGGTTGTTAGAGACCAGGCCTGTGGGGCGGCAGGCAAAGGCAAGGCAGGGGTGGGCCCCCACAGCCTCTACTGAGAGACCTTGGCTTGCTTGGGTCTTTATCTGCTCTCCCTCTTGTCCATGTGCTCACCTGTCTCACCAGCCAGACTGTGAGCTCCAGGGTGGGGGCTATGGCTTGTTCAGCGTGTGTCCTTCCTGCCGTCTCAGGGCCTTGTTCTAGCAGGTCCTCAGCAAACATAAGTCCTGGCGACAGTTATTTAAAATAGCTTTTGGTGACTATTACCGCCTCCTTCCTCTCTGTGGTGCATCCCCTTCAACTTGTCCATGATGTTAAAAAGAGATGGCTAGATGCAGAGGATGGTGACAGCTGTGCACTGATGTCCACTCATGCATGTCTCGGAGTCCGGGACAGGGCCCATGAGGCAGGTGGTGGTTTCGGGTAGATTTCCTGCTCGAAAGAAGGGGAATGAGAGGGTTTATGGTTGTGCGTGTCTCTGTCAATGGGTGGTTGTGAGTGTGTGTGTATGTGTATGTGTGTCAGGAGAGCAAGGCTGTCCCACAGGAATGTGTACAGAACGGATCAGATCAGAGTGCAAACCTGGAGGGTGCTTATGCTTAGAGGGATTTGCCCAAGCTCAGCCTCTCTCTCTTTTCCTCCTCCTTTTTGTAGCAGTCCAAGGTTGTGCTCCTGGAAGACCTGGCTTCCCAGGTGGGCCTACGCACTCAGGTAAGCCCTGGAACGTGGCCTGCTGTGTACAGTGTGGCCAGGGATATGTGTGGCTAGCAGAGAGGACCTGCCCTAAAGACAGAGTCTTGATGTATCATCTACCCTGTCCCCAACCAAGAGTGAGTAGTGCACAGAAGTCTCCTGGCATCCTAGGAATCCTGTGTTTTTAATGGATGGAAGAACAGGCAGGAAAAAAAAATAAACAAATCCCATCACTCTGCCAGCCCCTGTGACCAAAGCAGCTCAAATCAGTTACCCTGACAACTCTCTTGCACAGACTGCACCAGCCTATGTTGTCAAACATTGCCACTGCCTGACTCCTAAAGAAAGAGATCCTCTTTTGGGGGTCTTTCAAGACCCAGGACCAGAGCCCCTTCTACCCAGGGCCCTTCCAAAGGCAAAGCACAGAGTCATAATTGGGGGCTGGCATGAGAGGGAAAGAATGAGATTTGGCTGTAGTGGGAGGGGAGTTTCAGTGCTTTTTCTGGGGACATTGGTGCCTATCTCTACTCTGAGAATTGTTCTTCTCATAGGACACCATAAATCGCATCCAGGACCTGCTGGCTGAGGGGACTGTAACAGGTGAGAGAATGAGAGTCACTCGCTGCAGGCCTGGCCTTGGAGAGTGTCTAGCCACAGGGGCTGCAGGGATGTGTGGCAGAGGCAGGATGACCACCCCAGATGGGGGGGGGTATGCAACGAGGGGCACTGAGAAGCTGGATGCAGTTACAGCGAGGACATGCTGTGGCCTGGAGATGGAGGCAGTGGGAGACGACAGGCAGGGCAGGCTGATTTGATTCTCCTAGCAGGACTGGGTGCAGCCAGGAAAGGCCAGGCAGGCAGGAGACCTGAAGGGCCCTGAGCCAGCTGTGAAGGAGTAGGTGGGCATTCTCAGGCCAGGTGGGGAGGGTCCAGGAGGGCTCAGCCCCACAACCGACATGTCCCCACAGGTGTGATTGACGACCGGGGCAAGTTCATCTACATAACCCCAGAGGAACTGGCCGCCGTGGCCAACTTCATCCGACAGCGGGGCCGGGTGTCCATCGCCGAGCTTGCCCAAGCCAGCAACTCCCTCATCGCCTGGGGCCGGGAGCCCTCTGCCCAGGCCCCAGCCTGACCCCAGTCCTTCCCTCTTGGTCTTAGAGTTGGTGCGGCCTACCTGGCTATACATCTTCATCCCTCCCCACCATCCTGGGGAGGTGACAGAGTGTGGCCAGGCAGTTACAGATTAAAGGCCTGTGAGTACTGCTGAGCTTGGTGTAGCTTGGTGTGGCAGAAGGCCTGGCCTGGGATCCTAGATGAGCAGGTGAAATTTAGGCGTCAGAATATATCTGAGAGGAGGGGAGGGTCCTTTGGAAGCTGGTGGAAGTCCCATTCTTATTATGAATCCATTCATTCAAGAAAATAACCTATTGCACATTTACTGTGTCCGTTTGTCCTCTGCAAGCTCTGCCCCCAAGTCCTAGATAAGGTCTTTCTCTTCTTCTGCCCCCACTCAAAGTAGAAGTAGGGAACCTCTTGGGCCACATCCCTGTTAACTGGGGAGGGGAGGTCTCAGGGGTATTTTTTTTTTTTTTTACGGATCAGGAGCCCTTAATAGGGCTGAGAGCCACTGGGGAGAAGAGTTAATGAGAATCACCAAGGATAGAGTCCTAGGGAGCATCAGCCTTTAAAAGGGAGGGCGGTGGGTCAGTGAAGGAGAGAGCCGTTTGCTGGGCAGGTAGAAGGAGAGGACCTGCTTGAGCTGGCTATAATTGTGCAGCAGAGGGACACTGCTCATATGGTAAATCACATGAATTCAGCTCTACATCTTGACAAAATAAAAAGTTTAAATGGTGTGGGTGATTCCACCCACTGGTAGATGTGAGAACCATATGCTCAGGAGTGGGCGGGATGGGAGGGAGGTGTGTACCTCCTGGAGGGTCGGTCACTCTGGTTCCTGTGGGCTGTTCATGGCGTGAGCATCTTGCTGTGCTAAGGGTGAGGCACATGTTTAAATGTGTGTTTATGCAAGGTGGCCCCTAAACATAAGCCTCCTGCTTCCTCTGATGGCTGGTGGGGGAGGCAGCTTTCTGTTCTGGCCCAGGAGGAAACTGTCTCCCGGGATGGTGATGGGGAAACAGTACTTCAGGTTCCAGGGCAGAGCCTTCCTTTGGAGTTGCCAAGGGTGTTTTTGACTCATTGGGTGCCATAAGCATTGACTGTAGAACCTAAATTCCAAGAAAGGTGTGACTCTGCTACTTTGATCAGCAATGGGTACTTGTCACCTGGAGTGTGAAGGGCCACTTGGATTGTTTGGAAGGCCATCTGGAGCCTACATTCTAGTAGGAGAAGGAAGAAACAGATGTAGCCAACCACAGTATCAGGTAGAAACAGTTACAAAGGGAAAAGAGATGACTTACAGTTAGATCATTGGTTCTCAGCCTGGTTACTCATTGGATTCACCTGGGGAGTTTTTAGTAGTCTCATGCCAGCCAGGTTGCACCCAGGACCAGTTAAATCAGAATATCTGAGGGTGCAGTCAAGGGAGCATCAGTGGAGATTGCAGTGTGCAGCCAAGATTGAGAACTAGCGAACAGATTGGGGTGGGAACAGATCGGGGTAGGGTGGAGAGGGAGACCAAAAAGTTGCAAGTAATTAAAATCAACATTGGAAGGGGCTTCTCACAGAGCAAGGTGGCGGGTCCAGGGTTCTCTAGTTGCTTCCTTCAGCTATCCTCCGCCACTGCCATGCAGATAGCAAGATGGCCAAGGCAGGCCCACTCCCAGCATCCCATGCTCAGGACAGTACCCAAAGGCCAGGAGTGGGAAAAGGCACATTCCTTTCTCACATCCTGGAAGCTACCAGATATTCTTCATGTCTGTGGGTTTAGTGTGGAGGAAAAAAACCGTATGATCCTTTGAGCATTATTTAGTGCTCAATCTAATAGTCTACTGCATTTATTAAATGAATGGTTTATTCAACAAATAGGAAACATTCTTCCAAATATATACAAACTGCTTTCACAACTGAAAAATGAAAAAGGGAAAAATAAAATGAAATTAAATACTTTTACACCCTAAAAAGTAGACCAGATGTAGTATTATTTTATTAACTTTTTTTTTTTTTCCAAAGACAGGGTTTCACCATGTTGGTCAGGCCGGTCTTGAACTCCCGACCTCAGGTGATCCGCCCGCCTTGGCCTCCAAAATGCTTGGATTACAGGCGTGAGCCACCACGCCCGGCCTAGTATTATTATAAATACATTACTGATCTGTACATGTGACACTAACTAAACCTGATTATAAACATTTCACTAGCCCTACTTTTTTTTTTTTTTTTTTTTTTTCTGAGATGGAGTCTCACTCTGTCACCCGGTCTGGAGTGCAGTAGCACGATCTTGGCTCACTGCACCCTCCATCTCCCATGTTCAGGTGATTCTCCTGCCTCATCCTCCCAAGTAGCTGGAATTACAGACATGCGCCACCACACCTGGCTAATTTTTGTATTTTTAATAGAGACGGGGTTTTACCATGTTGGGCAAGCTGGTCTTGAACTCCTGACTTCAAGTGATCCACCTGCCTCAGCCTCCCAAAGTGCTGGGATTATAGGCATGAGCCACTGTGCCCGGCCTTGCTAGCTCTACTTAAATTTTTATCTGTTTGTTTGTATATTTATTTTTATTATTATTTTTCTTTTTTTTTTTTTTTTTGAGATGGAGTCTCTCTGTCACCCAGGCTGGAGTGCGGTGTCGCAATCTTGGCTCACTGCAACCTCCGCCTCCCAAATTAAACTATTCTCCTGCCTCAGCTTCCTGAGTAGTTGGTATTACAGGCGCCTGCCACCATGCCCAGCTAATTTTTTAATTAATTTATTTTTATTTATTTATTTATTATATTTTTGGTGCCATGACTTAGATTAATTTTTGTATTTTTTAGTAGACAGGGTTTCTCCTTGTTGGCCAGGCTGATCTCAAACTCCTGCCTCAGGTGATCCAGCAGCCTCAGCCTCCCAAAGTGCTGGGATTACAAGCATAAGCCACCATGCCCAGGCTTTAATTTTTATTTTTGTCTGAGGGTACGGTTATCACTTACTCTGGAGCACTAGGGTTACTGTTGTAGTTGAGGACATAGACAAGACTGATGGATGATGATTCAGAGCCAAGGACTCAAGACTTTGTTGTAATTCTACCTGAGTCTTTTACCCTTTTCTTGTTGTTGTTTTTGTTCTTTTTTTGTTGGGGCTGGGCGGAGCTCACCCAGTGGCTCAGCTGGGACACCCCCCCCTTTTTTTTTTTTTTTTAATTTTGTGGGGTTTTTTTGAGACAATCTTGCTCTGTCACCCAGACTGGAGTACAGTGGCATAATCTCAGCTCACTGCAACCTCCACTTCCTGGGTTCAAGCAATTCTCCTGCCTCATTCTCCTGAGTAGCTGGGACTATATGTGCATGCCACCATGCCCGGGTAATTGTTGTATTTTTAGTAGAGATGGGGTTTCACCATGTTAGCATCCCAAAGTGCTGGGATTACATGCATGAGCCACCACTCCCGGCATAGTGATCCCATTTCATAGTTAGATTTTGGACCCCTTGACTCTTGGCTCCAACCAATCAGATATGTTTTGATTTTTGTAACTCCCAGGCAGTGCTTGTCCTGGGTACCTTATCTTTACAGCCCAGCCCAACACAAGTTTATTTTGATACCACTTGCACCCCATAGAGTCTGGTAACTTCTCTTGTGGATCTTCAAGGCCTATTATTGACAGGTTCTAGATTGGAGTCATATTACACATTTTTTCAAAAAATAGTTATTTACAAGATTAACCATGAGCTGAAAATTACTGAAAAACTGGGAATGGGTACATGGAGTTGTACTCATTTTCTTTCTTCTTTCTGTTTTGTTTCTAAGATCTGGCTCTGTTGCCTAGGCTAGAGTGCAGTGGCACGATCTCAGTTCACTGCACCTCTGCCTCCCGTGCTCAAGCCAGCCTCTTATCTCAGCCTCCTGATTATCTGGAACTTACAGGTGTGCACCACCATGCCCAGCTAATTTTTAAATTTTTTTGTAGAGATGGGGTTTTACCATGTTGCCCAGGCTGATCTTGAACTCATGAGCTCAAGCAATCTACCTGCCTTGGTCTTCCAGAATGCTAGGATTACAGGTGTGGGCCACCGCACCCAGCCATCTATTTTCAAACATGTTTAAAATTCTATGTAACAAAACATAAAGAGCCCTAGATGGCCTTGTATATCCTTGGCTCATGTAAACCTCAAGAAAAGGGGCTAAGGCTGGGTGAGGTGGCTCACGCCTGTAATCCCAGCACTTTGGGAGGCCGAGGCAGGTGGATCACGAGGTCAAGAGATCGAGACCATCCTGGTCAACATGGTAAAACCCCGTCTCTACTAAAAATACAAAAAATTAGCTGGGCATGGTGGTGCGTGCCTGTAATCCCAGCTACTCAGGAGGCTGAGGCAGGAGAATTGCCTGAACCCGGGAGGTGGAGGTTGCGGTGAGCCGAGATCGCGCCATTGCACTCCAGCCTGGGTAGCACGAGTGAAACTCCGTCTCAAAAAAAAAAAAAAAGAAAAGGGGCTAAAATAGCTGGGTTATGTGAAGCCACAAGTAATATGGTGGCAGTTGAGTGACTCCCCTAGGCTACCACAGTGGTACTGATAAGGGATGCATGTTGAATTTTTGGTTTTTGAGACAGTCTCATTCTGTTGCCAAGGCTGGAGTACAGTGGTATGATCATCGCTCACTGCAGCCTCAAACTCCTGGGCTCAAGTGATCCTCCTACCTCAGCCTCCCAAAGCACTGGGATTACAGTCGTGTGCCACCACAGCCACCCTATATTGAATCTTTGTAACAAAATTATTTAAACACATCTGAAATGTGTTTTTTTTAAAAATAACAATGTATGGGGAGCCTACTAAGTACAAGGCATGACGTTGAACACCCTATGGAAGTACAGTGAGCAAAACATGACCCCAGCCACAAGTAGGGGTTATTGCAGTGGTCTTTAGCAGAGGGACCAACCAGTCACGAGCTAGCAAGTGCACAGCTGGATGCTGGAGTGTATGAAAGGGACCAGTGGATAATAGGAGAAGCCTTCCAGGCTAGGGGGAGGACAGGTGCAGAGATCTGGAGTGGAGAATAAAGGCCTGTTGTTCCCTGAGGGGAGCATGGAGTGTTGGGTGGAGGACAGGCCAGGGCAAATTAGAAGTGGAAAAGGAGGCTAGGACCTACCTGGCTGGGAAGGTCTGAACCCAGAGATTGAGCTATGTTTGATAAGCCTGGGTGGGGAAGAGGCAGGAATGTTTAATTACTTAGTGTTTTGAATCTGTTAACTCATTTCTTAAACCTTTACGTCACTGTAACCCACAAATTGTCATTACACCATGTACGTCTCCCTCCACACGCCACTGGACTGTTTGAGAATATCCCTCAAGTCTTTGTGCGCACATGCCCAGCCCCAAGATTGGAGACAGCTATTCCACTAAGCCTATGGTGTTCAGACTCTTTTAACAGTATCTCAGTAAGAAATCCATTTTCCTGTGTGTGCATGTATGCATAAAGATACCTGAAGCAAACGTTTCACAGTACAAACCTTCTGGTTTGATGCATGTTCATTCTTGATTCTCTATTCTGTTGTATTGCCAATGGTGACTAAATTGATTTTACAACTCACTAACAGATTTTGACCTACAGTTTGAAAAACAGAGTGCTAAAGAGTCTTGTTTCTTTTATGATATTTTGAGAACAGGGCAAGGATGAGTGTCTGGGTAGAGCTGTGCGTTGTACATAACCTTTGATAGTCATACAGTTGTACCAAAAGCAATTTCAGTAGTAACATTGAAAAGCATTTTGACCTGATTTATCCT